AAAATTATTCTATTTATCCTATTCCATTTAATTCCATTCAATTTTATTCTATTTCATTTCTCGCTATGCGACAAGAATGAAAACATGGTGAGGAAATCTGCATGTCTGAGAAGTTATAAAAAATATATTTTTCGAATATAGTTTTTAACTTCTCAGAATATATCTTGAAATTTATTTCGCTAACACGCATTAGGGCAGCGCGGTGGACACTTCCTTGCCCTAAAACCAAAAGGAATGGGACATATTTTTTTTGCTTTATTACGGCCGTCGTATAAAACCAACACATAATTTTCGTAACGGATTAATTGACCATACGTGTAAACAAAACGATTAAAAATTGCAAATAAGGTCAACGCGGTGGCAAATTACTGTTTTTATAACAAGATTTGTATCATACGGTCGGACTACTCATTTATGGTTTATCGGTATAGTGAATCACTTAGTAATTAATGATCGAGTGTTAGTTATTGAAAATTTTAATAAACCTCATATCCGGCAAATTGACCAAAAATAAAAGGCGACAAATTAAAAAGCTTACATCACTACTAACAGTTTTAGTAGCTCAAATAACTTGCAAACGAGGTTTCGTTATCTTATGGTTATATTAATCGACTGAAATGTATGGTACAGTATTTTGAACTGTTGTTTTGATGGTAGTTTTTTTATGTAGGTTTAGCGGCGCTCATTCAGGTCTTCGTTGCTGAGGTGATGTTACGGGAGGAGAGGAGTTTTAGAATTATGTGCCACTCTCCTTATACTCTATGATTCTGATTAGGTCGCGGTGGAAGAGGACTGTGTGAAACGTTGCATCATTTTTCCTACATATCTCGATAGTGATAAGTAGCAAAAAATGTAGTAACTGACAGAACCCTGGATCAGATAAATTTGGTAGAGCCACGCTACAGCTAAAATTATTTGTAATATAATTGTAGCACGAATGAGTCAGATTGACTGGTGTAGGACCACGTTCGTACAGCTTAACGCTGCTGTGTTTCATATGATGAGTGTAGAGAACCGGCGATCCTTTTACTGGAAACGAGGCGTTCTATCTTAGTGCTCAGGCATAACAATGGATTTTCATTTTGAATCTTAATCCAGGATAAAGATGTCGTAAAGATATTTATGGGCCACAACATCCGCTTTCCATCTGGTGGACTGTGTGCTCGTTTGTCACTCTTATTCTATATAAAAAAGATAAAGTTCAGGTCAGGGTCAGGGTTAGGGTTGGTGCTATGTTTTATTTTACTGACCCAATTTTTTCTGAGTGGTGAATTCTTTTCTAACGCACGTCAAATAGTGTACGTGTAAAAAGACGCGCCTCTTTGTTTCGTCCCGCCATCAAGCTGTATTGCTATAGTTCAAACGTAAGTACGTACCTTGTTTTCTGTCACCTAATAGTGCTGCTTTATCCTATATAGACAAACTGCTTTATTCCGGGCTGAAGAGTATGGGAATCAGTAGAGCATTCTTGGTCATGGAATAAAAGTATTTTTATTGCGTTTGATTTAATTAAACAGATTTAATCGCGTTTAGTTCATTAAAAAAATTTATCGCAATAATTTGCGTAAAATTAGTTATATTCTAATCTTTATGTGTAGTATTTGCGTAAGTATTAGAAATCATTTAGAAATCTTATGGACGCCACACACGGCCAGTTCAACTGATCATTCCAACTGATCAGTTCAAACTAAACTCTTGATATTTTTTAAAATACTGAATTTTCGATATTTTATTTTATTTTATTAATAAAACACACAAACAGATTTAAGACAATACAAAACACATTTACAGTAACAAAAATATTATAACTAGTCTATAATCCAATAAAGTGTGCACAGCAAAACAAAATATGACAAGTATGACCGAAAAATAAATTAATAATACATAGTACTAGTGACAGTTAAAAAAAGAACTTATTTTATGATATTCGTGATTTTACATATTTAATGTAGCAATTACAGATCTTCTAAATTGTGAAATATTATAATTAAAAATGTCCAGATCAGCGTTACGCTGTCTCAGCTCGTCAAAATTTCGATACATTCGAATGACCGGATTAAAGAAAGACGTGTTGTTTCTGTAAACATCAAGGCGAAAGATACGCGGGTTACGCAGACGGGATCGACTGTTAAAATTAATTAAGTTAAGTAATTCTGGGCAATCGATGGAGGAGTGAATGATTTTGTGAAGGTAAATAAGCTCAAAATATTGTCTACGTTTATCTAATTTCGTAACTCCAAAGTAATTCACTCTTTCATTATACGATGGCAACTGGCGGATCAATCCATGTTTACGACATAAGCTCCGCAGAAAACATCTCTGGACTCGTTCAATATTAGCTATATGTACTTCGTAATAGGGTGACCAGACTACTGAGGCGTATTCAAGGATCGGTCTCACAAGAGTGTTAAAAAGATATATTAGACTAAGGGGTCTCTTGAATTCCTTCATAACTCGTGTAACAAAACCAACTAACTGATAACCACGTTGCGTTAAGTGATTAAAATGTTGCTTAAAATCTAGTTTTGAGTCAAAGATAACGCCCAAATCTTTAGCAACATTACTTCCAGACAATAGTTGATCATTGATATGGTATGTATACTTTAGTTGAATTTTCTTAGTTGTGAAAGTTATAAAAAAACATTTAGTTACATTCAAATGCATTTTATTATGAGAACACCAGGTATGAATATTGTTAAGGTCCCGTTGAAACAAGAGGCAGTCATTGACATCATCGATTATACGGAAAACTTTCATATCGTCTGCATATAGTAAACATTCACTTATGATATGGTCTACCAAGTCATTAATAAATATAATAAACAAAAGAGGGCCAGTGGCCTTGGGGAACTCCGGATGTTACATGTACTGGTTTGGAGAGGAAACCTTTTATTGCAACGATCTGACTACGTCTAGAAAGATACGAAATTATCCAACGCAACAAATTGCCATGTATCCCGTATTGGGTAGCAAACGCTTGACAGATGTAATTTTTGTAGACAAGTAAATTACTAACGGTTGATCTACCTGTAACAAAACTATGTTGTAAGTTTCATATGCTTTGTTTCACTTGGTTGTAAATATGGTCATAAGCCAACGATTCAAAAATTTTAGCCATACAGGATAAGATACTAATTGGCCTATAGTTTTCACATTTTGTTATCACCAGACTTATGAATTGGAATTACATAGACATTTTTCCAAACAGAAGGGAATATGCCGCTCTTAATAGACTTATTGAAAATTATAAATAACGCCAAACTAAGTTCTTCACAACACACCTTAACAAATAATGATGGAATTCCATCGGGACCCGGACCTTTGTGAGCATCTAGTGTTTTAATCTTTCTAATAATGTCATCTCTACTAATGGCTATATTAGATAGTGCTAGATTAGACTTGTCCGGTATATTAAATTTGGGTTCACAGTTGTCAGTTTTTTCATAAACAGAAACAAAAACGCTGAAAAAAGTTAGTAGCAGTTTTAGCATCATGAGTCATAGATTCAGGGATACCTTTACTTGATTTTTTGTTATTCACGAACTTAAAGAAATGATTAACGTTTTTACCTAAACTATTCTCAACTTCATTTTGAATCGATTTGTAGCAGGCTTCCATTAAGTGTTTACTACGAGTTCTTAGCATATTGTTTGTATCATAATCCCTTGGATTACCAAATTTTTTATACAAATTATGATACTTTTTTATCTCGAAGGCAACGAATTAGAGGAAAGTTAAACCAGTATGGGTATTGGTTAGGATTACATTTTTTTAAATGGTGCACACAGCAAAATAGCTGAATTAAGTACTTTATACATAACATCAACAGCACTATCAGGGTCCAAGTTATTTAACAGTTCATGCCAATTGACTTTTCTTCAATGATCTTTAATTTTTTCAAAATTACATTTATGATAATTTGGTTTCAAAAGTTTACGATTAAATTTAACAAAATTTGGTTTATTATTTGTATAATTAAGATTAATTTCTATAGATGGATGATGACCGTCCAGTTTCAATAATGGTTCTACTTCTTTTACTCTTAGTTCGTCCATAGTTGATAATACGAGATCAAGTAGACGATCAATCTGATTTTTAGAATTATTATATTATTTCAGATCACATAATGCCATAGTATCTAAAAGAAAACGGCCCTTAGTGCCAGCAGAAGCATTTGGAATTAAACGTAATTGTAAATTAGAGATCTCCCAGTCTATTTCAGGAAAGATAACATCGCCTACCAATAAGAAATGTCTAGAATGGGCAGTGCTAAGTATGAGACTTTAATAGTGTTTCATAAGTTTATTGATGTCGTCCGACTGAAGATAAGGTGGAAGATAACAAACACAGATATTTAATGACAAGCAATTTGTAGAAATAAGTGAAACCCAAATATCATCAAAGTTACTGTCCCAAAATTTCCTACGAGTAACACTAAAACATTTTTTTATGGCCAAGATCACACCTCCTCCCTCGTATTTTCGTCCGCCATAAGCGCATTCCCCTCTGTCCTATCTGAATACATTATAACCCTCATCAAATAATTCTTCATTAAAAATACCTTCATCTAAGTTAGTTTCGGTTAAGTAAATAATATCATATTCATTATTTAGTATATTTGTATACAGCTGACGTACATATTTTGGAACGCATACGATTAACATTTTGATAGTAAATTAACATTCAAGTAAAAAAAAAATACAAAACTTAAACGCAAAATAAATAAAAACAAAAAAGTGAGTTACTACAATACAAAGCAATTAACTAATTTTAGCCAAGCAATCTTTGTTTTTAATATGTACTGCTGAAGAATTATCATCTTTTCTCACATATATATTCCCGAATTTGACCCACACGTATTTATATTTTCCACGAGCAGTAGCCCGTGTCAAAGCAAAAAGCTCCTTTGTTTCTGGAGAGAGATGTTCGGAAACGTAAATTGGGCATCGGTCCCCTTAAATTTCTAAATGTACAGAGCTTAGTGTGTTGCCAGGATTAGCCTAATTATAACGTTTGACCGCTGACAAAAGATTATCACGATGCCGTATGGAAGGCAGCGAAAGCAAAATATTACGCGGGTGTTGAGCTGATGTGGTCGGCAATTTAGCAAACCTTCGACACATACTAATTTCAGCGTCTGTCTTTGGTAGTTTTACTGTAGAGTAAATATTTTTGACAAGCGTCAAAATATTCTCATTCCGTTTTTCGGGGACTGCTTGAATCTCCACGATGTGACTGCGGGAAAATTTTTCCATGGATTCCAAACGACGATGCAGTACAATCATTTTGTTTGTTAGATCAGCATTAATTTTTTCTAGTGCCTGAACTTTTATTTCGGCAGATTCAATATTTGACTTGAGTTCTTTTTGCCCTCGATGTAGAAAGTCTGTAGTCTCGTCAAATTCAATTTTGACTTGGCCAATGGCTGTAACAATCTCCGTTTTGATTAATGATTTCATATTAATATAGAATGATTTCTTGAGTGATTCAAATTTTTCATCTAATTTAGCATCAAGTTTCATATCTAGAAGTTTGGCTATACTCTCTAATGTAACTTCTTGTCCTAGAGAAGGGCACATAGAAGTTGATGGCTGAGAACCTACTGAAGTTTCCGAGTTTTCAACAGAAAGAGAGTCGTCGCAAGACATTATTGAATTATTAAATGGCACTGATTTTCTAACTGGTGTGTTCAAAATATCTCCCTTGCGTCGATTTGTTACATTAAAGCAAGTTGGGCATTTCCATTTAGATTTTGTTTGGCCGTCTAATTTAAAGAAAGCAGTCTTATCCATATTCAAACATTTTAAATGGAATTCTTGCCTACAGCGCATACATAAACGTAAACATAAAAGCAAATCTTTGCAGGCAAGAAAAAAATGTTTTTTTTCCATTGTGGTATACATAAATGCAAATATATCAACATCGGAGTTTTATATATAAGTTTATTTGTCAATATATCGAAAATTTGTTATTTTAAGAAATATCAACAGTTTTAGTTTGAACTGATCAGTTGAACTGACCGTGTGTGGCAACAATTAGTCCTTAAGGTGTATCCCTGACCAAAATGTTGCGAAAGTGCGTTTTTCAGGTTCTATTATCCCATTAGTTATGAAAAATAAACTACATCTAAAAGCACATTATTAATGTTCGATATCTCATCATCACATTTCACGTTCTAATTTGTTTTTATGTGCTATATTTACATTTAAAATCAACTTTTAAAAAATGACTAAAATTCTTGATTACATGCATCTGTTGCTAAATGCAACGCTCTAATCATTTGAGGATTACACTAATGGATAGACAATTTAAAAATCTATATTCTTCACGATATATTTAATTTTTTAAGTTCGTTTTTCTTTATTAATTGAAATAATTCCGAAAATTATGTGAATTCTATGATAAAGGGGCGTGCGCAGAGTGCGGGCGGCATTACGCTGTATGTGTTCGTACGAGGTAGCTGTGTCGCTTGTCGTTGTCGTCGACTTTCCGTATTTCGCCGCAAACATAATATATTATGTTTAATATATATATATATACACACATCACAATATTGATTCTACGTCCTTTCATTTCGCATTATTGTAGCGTCCACCACTTGTAGGCAATTTTATACATTGTGACAGTGAATATTGGTCCATTAAACAATTTCAAAGATAGTGTTTAACTCATTTCTTTGAAAATTTACCATATATCGATATACAAATATTCGTATATTGCCAGACCAAGGGAAACCAATCAGGACTCCCTTCCATATTACAAATTATCCAGAATCCCCATAATATTCATAGTTTTTAATTCATCCTCCTGCTTAACGCAATTCCTTTGTATGGTGCGACGTTGCCACTCTTATTAGTTATTCCGCTTTGTAATATTTTATTTATAGGTCATATTTTGTTTATGTAGGTATTCGGTAGATTCCTATAGTCTGTTTTTTTTTCCGCAGGAGACAAAAATAAGAGATCTTTATTAGATTCGTTTAGCACGAATAATACAGTTTTTATGATTCTGGTTTAATTTTAGTCACTTAAGTAAATCCACAGAATGTGCAGTTACGAAAAATAACAATATCATTTTTGTCTACGGCGAAAAAAAATAGATAGATATCATGATTAATTTACCAACGAGTTATTCGTTTACTAAATACGAAAAAATATCTAGGATTGCCCACCCGTGATATATTATAGATTGACTATATTATTATTTTTTTCCAATGTAAATAAGTACTATAAAAAATTCGTGATATGCATGTCTTTAGTAATATAGCGTCCAATATTTATAACAACAAACACAAACAAATTGTATTGCAACTAACTGCAAAACCAAACGTAATATCTTAATTTAACAAAAATAGCCTTTCACAAAAATGAATCTAGTTAAGTAGAGAGTAATTTAGTACAGATTAGGTAAATAGTTTGCACTCATCCTTAAGATAGTGATCATAAAAAGTAAACTTGCAGTGAGAGCACCAAAACTCAACACGATCAAGTAAATAAATTATATTTTCGGAGTTATGTCAGCAACAATATGCCACGGTCTATTGTAGACATTAACAACCTAATGGCAGTTAATACGGTAAAACCATATATTAAAATCAGTTTCTTCGCCAGACCTTATTAGGTTATTAGTCACAATATAATAAAACAAACTCTATGAAACTTGTCAGTATCTACAATTGAGTCTATCTTCCTGTACTCAATCAGAAGGTAACTTATACTCAAACAGAATTATGGGTTGCTTACGAAATACCTAACAAGAGTTCTTTTAAGCAGATTAGTACCAAATGTAAAATGTTAAAATATAGTGCAGCATGAAATAAACCGATAAGCCGACGACCGCATCTACATTTATAAAAATATAACTAAATTCAAAAATACGGGTGTCAAATATCATTCAGTATAAAAGTTTTAGGATATTCGGACGTCCATATTATGTGAAGGTAAATGTAAGGTTAAGAAAACAAGTTTAAAAGTAAAATTACTAGTACCAAGCGCAGTTACACATAATAATGTCATGCACATCAAATTACGGTCACGGCGGCCAGCCTCAACGAAGACTAGCCATCGGCGCAGGACAGAATTATAGTGCCCAAGTGTATGCGCAAGCACAGGTGCACTCTCTATTCCCTCATTCTCATAATCCGATGGGACGGTAAACCGACACGACCGGAGAGAGATCAGGTGCAGTACCAACGGCTTTACGTGCTTGCCGAGGCACGGGGGTGATACACCGCCAACTTCCTGACTCCGGGCAGCTATTGAGAATTTCTTGACAGAAAAACTCAATAATTAATTTTTTGGCCCGACCCGGGATCCGAACCCAGGACCTCACTATCAGCAGTCGCACTACTACAAACACTGGACCAACGAGGCAGTCATAACCATATATCACCAAATACAAGTAACTCGTTGGTAACGTTGACGGAACGGCAAAGTCGCATCTCCCTAATTTTGTGTGGAAGTCAAATACGGCCATAAATGAAAGTATTCACAAATCGACAGCAGCGCTATTATTTTTGCAACGAAAATTAGCGGAACTACGTAAATATTCAGTACAGCAAGATTGGAAGAAAAATGACGTCCAATTTTTTTTAGATTTTGACATTTCTGTGATCAGCATGACAATTTGCGAACATTGCGCTAATTCTCCTATTTGACGTCCGTATATTGGACGTCGTAAGCAGGTTGACGCCACATTATATGCAAAATTGGCCATAGTGGACGTACAACAAATTACGGGATGTACATATATATATATATCTGATATTTTATATTTTTTTTATATTACATTAACATGTTATGAAATTGATCTATCAATAAATACTACTAATTTGAAATAAACTTGCGCTACAAAAAAATAACAACAACATTTTTGCACTTAATATATAAATCATATAGAAACTAAAATAATACGTGAAAAATTAGCAGTATTTAATGATAGATCGATTTCATAATATGTTAATGTAAAATAAAAAAAAACGATTGCCGATCATACCGGGCTCAAATCCCAAGTCGGGATTTAGGATTTGTTTCTATTAAGAAATTCTCTGAACTGCTATTAAAATTCTCATTAGCAGCCCGGAGTTAAAAACTTCGGCAGTGTTTCAACAATGTAACGTGCTGTTTTGAGACACGTTAGGCCCTTGATCCTGCGTTTAATCTATCTTCGATTATATCGGATTACCGTTCTATTGGACTATGGGAATTAGTGATTAGGGAGTACACCTGTGCTTGCACACACACTTTTATATTATAATCCTGTTCTGTACAGATCCCGTCTCCGTTGATTTTTATTCCACATGATAGTAAATAGTGATTTAGCCAAAGTCGGTGAAACGCACTGCCCAAAAGCCGATTCACTTGTGCCTTGAGGAAACACACAACAAAATATATTGTAATGGGATGGAAATATCTGTTATTCTAACCTTGCGCCTGAGCTCGAGACTAGTAAGATGGCTTTAACCAGATTCAGAACACCAATAAGTCTCTTAACAGCTTTTTAATTCAGTCTAAAGGGGCTCGGTAACATTTTGCAGCACCAGTCCATATTTGTGTCAAAAAATACTAATATTCCCGTTAAACATTTCAGGTAATGTTCATATGCTTGCAGCAGGATGATTCACGACAGTAGTCTACTGGCGGATTCGAACACAGGAAGGACTTTTGAGTTCTCGATCTGAAAAGTACCATTAGGCTATTGGCGCTTTCTACGCTACGTGATTAATTCTATTCTACCAAAAGTAACTGTAAATAATAGGGTAAAGGTGCCTAATATGAGGTAGTTTAGTATTTGAAAGTTCATTTACTTGTCACGACTGACAGTGGTGTCGTTCGGTAGGTCATTTGGTCGTGTTAAAACGTACACCATTTAGTCACCGACAAGCAGGCGAGAAAATACATAACCATCTCGATTTTTGTAGGGAACGGATATGAAATTTTCGTTCTTAGTTGTAAGGTATGTTAAATCATTAAAAATACATTTAGATTAAATATAAATTTGTGATATCTTTTAAAAAGTAAGTTTTAATATTCTAATCTATTTTATTGTGCTTATTACATACAATAAACATAAAGTTTGATTAAGTCGGGTTTACAGTGAGTTCCTTATACGAGATACCAGTGGGCTCCCTATATAACTGGTTACACAATAATCTTGGACATGTTTTGGCCAACAGGTCATAAGATTTTCCCCACAACATGCATCCGTGTGCATGTAAAAACAAATATAAATGTATTATGTTTGAAAAAGCTTACAAAAAATAGCAATTAATGCAAACTCTGGTTCAAATGGTTTTTACAAGAAATATGCAAAAATGAAAATAGTATCTCATATTCGGCACCTTTCATTATTGTATTCTGCATAAAAGATTGTACATTTATGAGAGATGCGGTAAAAAAGTCAAATCGAAACCAATATAACTTTTACTAATTAACACAGTTATCAATTCAAGTGTTGTTCTTAGTTACGTCGTTGAATAAGTTATGTAAGATGATTAGTCGCCTTCGCAAGGTCCGAGGTCACCATCCGCTAGTCACTAGCAATATTTGCTCAATGAATCACATCTCGAGCTAAAATTTGTCAGATGTTCAATATTGCTGCTGCTAAAAAACCTAAGTCATCTATATAAACCGTAATAGAAATTTAATCCAGTAGTTTCTGCTTTGATCTCGCGACCGTAATACATGATTTGTCAAAAATTTACATTAATTAATACGTGACTAACTTGTTAAAAATCCGTTGCTGGTTATTAAACTCCCTCACAGATTGCCACATAGGGGGATATTTGCCATAG